AGTTATACCACTTTGTGTAGATTTGTTTTTTTTTAAGGTTGCTGAAACACCTGGACATTTTTTATATAATATAAATCAACTATAACCCACTGAGAACTGCAAGTTGACAGCCACGACATTTGGAATAAGACAGGCGGCATTCAGCCTTTTCTGAGTCTGATTCTCTCCCAGGTGAGAGATTAGCATACCCTATTCCTGCCCTGATAGGTAAGAGTAAGAACAAATTCTAGATGAGAAAACATTCATCCCTTCTCTATGCACTATTTCCTCCTTCTCTTCAAGGTAGTATTTAACTCTAACTGTTTCAGTTCTTTAATTTTTGAAAGCTTTTAATGCTGCTGCACTGAGGCTTCTCAACTATTGTATTTTATCACCTCTAAATAATAAACCATTAACAGAAGCATTAGCCAGTCTTCTTCAGATTAAAAAAAAAAAAATAATCAAAACCCCAACCAACACTAGGCAGACAAGACTGAAAATTCACTGATTTCTGTTACAGAGGTTCACTAGAAAAAGCCAAACTGAATAGCCACATTATTAAAAGATTATAAATGCAACTTCACACACAGAAGACACTGGTCCTTCATCTCACTGAAAGCTCATATCTTAGAAATGTGGGGTTCCACATCAATGAACCTCTGTGTCAGACTCAATGGCAGTTTTGTGATGCAGACAAATAGCTATTTGAAACTAGTTTGAGATAGCCAATGTTTTTAACCTGGGGCAATCTTGTATTGTAGTGATAGAAGTAAGGCTATTAATGAACTCACCAATATTTAACTATTCATGTTGAGCCTCCTGTTGGTCAAATTTCACAAGTCTAGCACTGTATTGCCCAGGGCAACAAAATTAAATATGAACCATTTTCATCAGGAAAAACGCTAACGCTCTTCCTATCTAGAGGAAACGATCAGGGCAAATTTTAAAAGGAGCCTCAAACATATTTCTGCATCTCAGTCTCAGTGTTTTTCTACAACAGAAAAATTCACATTCTTTGCTGCTCTCTACAGTAGTATATGAGTAAAACATTACAAAATTACAGGCTAGTCTTTATACTCCATCTGTTTGTAACTGACTTCTAGCTCAAGATTCAATGAGAACAAAAGCATGGTCAATACTTGCTATAGCAAATTCAGACACAACTTCCAATTTAGAGGAAAAGCAGAAAGTGAAATCTTTCCATCAGTGCAGGCAAGTGACAGCTTCAGTGATCTGAAAACTTTTACTGAGCCCAGTCACATCATATACCTGCCTCTGCATGAAGAATAAATGTGCAAATGATAATAAGTGTACTGTACAGAAATTCACCCTTTCTTTGGAGTTACAGTACAGTTTACAACTCTAAAGTTTACATCCTGTTCCCTCTATTTGAAGCACCAATTCTTAATAGTGCAGTTACTAGGACACAAGTAGCGTCCCTGTCTGTAAGGAGAAGGCAAAGTTGGAGGAAAAAAATTAACATGAACAGATACCCAGGAGATTCTCTGTTTTATTTCAATGCTGTCCTAGAGACCAACAGTACCTGCTTGACTGCCTTTCTGCACTCACACTGTGACAATGCTTAAACCTGGAAGAGGAGGACATAACAGAACTGCCCTATTCAATGCCACTCCAACAACTCAGCAACACAGTGATTTCAAGGTCCCTTGAGACTCTCAGAAACTACAATCCTTCCTCCAACCCCACAGGCTGGAACTGCAGCAGCACTAAAGTCACTAGCTGGAAAGTCAGCCACACTTCACTGTTGGCACCGAAAGCCCCTTTCACAGCTAATTCCTTCTTAACCATGTTTCTCTCTAAAAAGTCTATTCTACATCTGACACTGAAGCTGACAGCTCCCTGAAGGGCTAGTTTTCACCTTTCTGCTCTCAACAGTAACTCAAGTTGCTGTTATTATTTCCACTTTACAAATGGAGAGCAAGGCGCAAGTCTAAAACAAACCACATGAAATCAATTACTTTTCAGTTCTCTGCATTGTCATTTGGACAAAGCTTTAGACCTCTTGCTATTAGAAATTGCAACTAGAAACTGAAATTTTTAATAGTGTTGTTTCAGACACCAGGATAGTAATGCATTTCAATTTGTTTCCTGTGTCTGTTACCCTTGTGTGCTTGTGAGTGCCAGCTAAGTTTAGTAACTAATTAGGCTGGAGTCACAATTCCATTAGAGGTCTGGATCAGTAATTCACCAAGCAGGAAACAAAACATCTCTTGTTGAAATAACTGTAGCTTTAATTGACAGATTTTTTTAAAAAAAAGAGTTTAAAGAGGAAGAAGTCATCCAGTAGCCATACAAACCTCATTATGCTTCCACATTAGAAGCTACAAAATAGGTCACACTCAAATCGAGCGAAACCTCTGGCTGACACAACTATTTTAAACCAGCTGAACTTTGACATTGGAATAACAGCTATCAAAGATCATCCTGAACATAATTAGTAATTCCAAAACTAAGTTCTTCTCTTTATATTGACATTGGACAGTTTCAATACAAACACTACTTTCCATTGTTCTAAACAAAGCACAATAAGCAGCTGCAAAAACACTCCTTCGACAAAGAACAACCGAGTCACGTCACTACCAAGGAAGGAGCAAGCAGTAACACATAAGACTTGATGCCCCCAAAAAAAGGGCAGCTTACTGGAATAGAACAAAGAACCTTGTAATACTGAGAAAGCACAAGGGTCCAGGGTTTCCTCAGAGAGATGTATAGAAAGCAATGCTATTCTGCTATTGCACTGTAGGAGGTTACAATGAGGTGAGGGTATAGACAAAAGTTATCAATACCTTTGGAAAAGAGAACTTGATGAATTAACACCAAGAAGGAAACAGGCAGCTTGGAAAGATTACAGTATTATAAAACCCTTTTAACAAGTATATAAAGATTAAACCACTGTAGGTCTTGGAAACTGCAAAAGCAAAAACAAGCAGAGATCAGCGTGGAATCTTTGGCAGAATTTGGTCTGGTACTAAAGAAGTTAAAAATGCAACTAAACTCTACAAATGGTAAGAGGTAAAACAAAAAGTTCCACAAATACTCTGAATCCCACTGCTGTCTGACAAAATGCACCCAAATCTCAGAGCAAACCAACACATCTCTGCCTCAGTGCAGGGGAAAGCCCTCACTTTTCAGTCTTGTACATTGCTTTAAGATGGTCAGTGAAAAACAGCTGAGGCAACAGGACACTCACAGCACTGCTCTCTCTGCATTGCAAGGCTTCCCACCTCGCTAGATCAAGAAACAGTAGAAATGTATAGAAATCAGAGTACCTTACCCCACTTCACAACACACAAGGCAGAGCATGTTGCCTTCCTTCCACACAAATGTGGGACTTTTATGTATCTTCACTGACCTTTGCAAAAAGAGTAAAAGGGTCAATGTTCAGAGCCACTCCTGACTCAAACAGCTTTCTCTGACTGTCTAATCGTTTGTGCTGTGCTTGGTACTGGGATTCACTGGCGCTTAACAGGCTGATAAGTACTACTGAAAGAGTTAAATAATAAATCTGTGCACAGATAAGTTTTATCCAAGAGGGATACAATGGCCTTGTATATCATACAGAACTAAAACTTCAGGTCACTTAGTTTTCCCACAGCCTTCCCAAATTCCTATTTCTACTTGTGCCACCTCCTTGGTCTTTGAAGCTCTTTCAGTGTATCTATTTGCTATATGCACACCTGTTCAGCAACTCCTAAGGGAGGAAAAAGGATTGGGGGAAATAAAAGTTTGCCAAAGGAGCAAATAGTTCCACAAATCTTTTAAGTGTTTCTGTGTCAAGTCTTGGAAGCTTGATAAGGGATGGAGAACATATTTATGTAGAATCTTAAGTCCAGCTTCAGAAGCACAACAAAAAGAAAAAAAAAATCCAAAAAATAGTTATCTTTGGGTCTTGTTTTCCTTAACTGCATCTGAATATAAAGGCTACTACAGTTATCAGGTTTACATGCAATGCAGGCCACCTCAAAAAGATCCCCAACTTGTACTGGCTCCCTGTCCCCAAAAACTGATTCCCCACAAACCAGCATGAGGGTGACAGGGAGACTAAGCACAAATCACTGGAGCTCTGCTGACCTATATAGACACAGTAATAAAGCGTAGCAACGGAGAAATGTTGCATCTCTAGCCTTCAAAGACTGCAGTACTTCATATTCTGTTATACTACCCTTCCTGCCTTATCATTCTCATTTTATATGCAGTACTTCACACTTCCAAGGTCCACTTATCCTCCTCCTCCCCTCTGTCCACTCCCAAGAAAATACAGAGAACTACAAATGTGACTATGAAGGATATAACTATGAAAAGCAAAAGGTATTTGTATTGAACTATAAAGAACCAGATTTTTTTTACATACCTTGAATTGAATGTGTTGCTAATTAAAGCATTTGAATTATCTAAGAACACATGCCAGAAAAAACAGCTTATTAAGAAAAAGGATATTAAGCAAGCAAGTGCTCCTGCAGCATGCAATGAGATGGTTGACTTGGGAGGCTAATGAATTAGTATAAACAATTTAAATCTAATTTAATTTAACAATGTAGAGCATTTGTGCATTGCAAAGCAACAGATAGTAATTTGTTTCTTCATTAAATCAAAGATAAAATTGCTGATTACCCTTCCCTGAACTATTTTATTGAAGAGGATGGCAAACAAATTTTATATTTAGTCATAAAAGTTCATGACTAGTCCCCAAACAAGCAAATGTAACCAGTGAAGGATACCAGTGAACATAATATAGACCAGCTGTGGTTTAGGGCAATACATTATTCAGTCAAAACAGATCCTCACATTTTAGCAGTTAGTAAGTAAATGTTTATACAGAAAATATAGCATTTTAAGTTTAATTTTTATTTCCACAAAACATATCTAAACAGCACTATTTGCTATTCACCAACTTTAAAAGTCTTAAAATTACATGTTAAGAATGCTAAGCATTTGGTACTGCCAGAAGTACTAAAATTATTAACTCCCTCTCTATTTTACAGATAAATTTATAAACTTGCCTCAAAAGTGTTACCGGTGATATCGAATTCTGGTGGAACAAAGGCACCCTCTGGATCATCTTTGGAAGTAAAAGAAAACATGTCAGATTAGAAACTAGTAGTCTTACTTGTTTTAAAAAAAAACCAAACACAAACCAATTTGATGATACAAATTTAATTATACACTCACATCGGATACAAAAGAAACAATGTATAGCAGTATTTTGGTTCACTCATATTTGATATACAAAGAACTTGTTATCTATGTTTCTACTACTGCAAGTAAAATAAATTGCTCTTTTCAAACTTTCTGCAAGAAGATACCATAATTTTCCTACTAAGAAACAAAACAGATTAAACACCCACAAAGAAATACACTTAACATGTCTAGCCACTTCTTGCCTTCAGACATTTATGTCTGGATCAAGTTATCACCTTAGCTGGTGCGGCTCAGAAGTCTGATTTGATTAATGGAACACTTCCATTCACTATTTTCCACTGCAGACCTGGGTGATAAGGGTTCAAGCAGCAAAACCAATCTGAACAGCTAATTGCCCCTTCATCTACAGGCCAGCTTAGAACTCTGACCTTTCTGTTTAGTTTGTTTTACTTAGGTTAAAAAAGTTGAGGCAGCAAATTCCATATGCACATGTAGCTTAGCAGAGAACTGAGCTACTGCAGCAGACAACTCTGAGTGAAGATGTTCTTTTCTTCCTTCTACCTCTTAAGAGAGACTGATGTTGCTGCTGCATCCAAGCAGGTATGTAGTATCACACTGCACTGATGTCACCAGCATGTACCGATGAACCCAGTAAAGAACACCATGGAATTAAACAAGTGCACGACTAAAAACCTACTCTTCACATACTTATTTGACTCACCTAAGTCACTGAGCTTTTAAGAAGCTCAGTGGATGACTGACATCATTTGGAAGCAAAAATTATGTTTCCCTTCTCAGCAAGGAGAAAAAAATAGTATGCTCAGAGGCATAGCATACTCATCATAGCTTTAGGTTTAATAGAACTTTTGTGCCTGTATTTTAGAAGTGAAATGCAAAGCTCTTACTGTGAAGACACTAAACTCAGTTATATGGAAAAGACTATTAGCGAGGACTTTTTTTTTTTTTTACATATTTATATATTGCAGCTACATGGCACAGCTGACTATCCAGATGCTACTGACTGATTTACAGCTCCTTATGATGTTCCCAATCCTATTTTCCCACTGAAAAGGAGGGGTGTCTAACTAATTTTGTATTCCTTACCCACCCCCCCACATTTTTTCCTGATATTTCAGGAGGAGGGGGTGGGCAAAAGGGGAAGGGAACCAACGGACAGATGTTTTGTCTCCTCCTCTTCCCCACCTGCAGACCTTTTCATCTCCATGCTACCTTCTCCCTTTCTTTCCACAGAACACTTTAAAGGCTGTACAAGCATACAACTGTTATCGCTGGTACAGCTCACTGTATTCTTCTAATATAATGTTTACAATGGAAATTTGTTTGATCTCAAGAGACAAGAAAATATCAGACCTCTTGGCAGAACATCCTATTGAATGTTTGTCACTTTAGCTCCACAGAACCTGCAGGAAGCAAAACTTGCTGCTAAAGCAGAGATGACAGGCTGTTCACTTTCCCTTACTGGCAAGCAAATCCAGAGGTTATAATTTCCTTCTGGAAGAATAAATCCATAGGCAACAACTACAAGGAAGTAAAAAGGACAACCTCCCCAAGTGCCTATCTAACAAACTATATTTTAACCAAATAGTAACAAGATCTGAGGGAAATAGAAAGAGCCAAAGACACAGTGGAATGTGTGAGAGAGAAACAGAATATAAACATAACTTTTTGCATTCCTAGGGAAAATACAACGTTTTTAAAGAGAACTAATAAAAAGTCTCTTCCTTAGAGATGAACACGACTTCAGGGAACTAAATCTTTGTATATTTGCTTTGCATAGGAATTTGTTATCCCATATTTTAAGCACTTGAATACAGCAAATTCCTGGATCAATTGTTTGCCAGCTATTCAACTAGACTAAAACATTTAAAAAGAAATTGATTTTTTTCTTTCCCAGCTGCAAGCAAAGATCTTAGATGAGGGGCATTTTTCATTCACTAGATTTATTCTCTTCAACAAGTCTTTCATATACCCTTGGCTTGTACAAAGCCAGCTTCTTTTTCTTTTTTTAATTTTGAAGTACAACAAGCTCCTTAAAATAAAGAAAATTGATTCCACATTACCCTATTAATATAAAACTAAAAGTTGACTCACATATATTTGAAAAATTTAACAAAAAAGAAACATGACAGCAATTATGAAGACACATTTTCATCTTTAATAATTACACTTTATTAAGTTATATGTTTATTTGAAATACCATCTTTAATTCTAAAGAAGGCAACAAATCTTCATTTGTTGCCATGTTACCTTACCCCATTTTTATCTAATATTTTTTAAAATACTGTGATGTAGATTTTGACTAAAATAATAAACACTTATTCTGACATGGATTTAAAAATAAATTGGGTTAAAGAAAACACAATAAAAACTTGAATAGTGTGTATATAGACTAAAATGGTTCTCCTAGTTATGAGTTGACAATTTCAGAAGTACCATCAAATAAGAGCTGTTTGGGTTTTTTCTGTTGTTTTGTAAAATCATTAATAGGCTCAAGATCCATCATCTTGAAATGGATCATGTGAGAAAGGAACAGCAATAATAACATGCTTTTTTGTCTATGCTAAAACCGAAAGTTTTTTAAAGTTAAGCATCCCCCTGTTCACCTGCTACAATACCCAAAGATCTTACAGCTACTCCATCCTTCTTTCTAATATTAAAATTAATTTCTCAGTCAGTTCACACATTTACTAAAAATCATGACTTAAAAAAAAAACCATTCTTTATTCAAGGGAAAGCTCTAAAAAAAAAAAAAGGCCCTTACTGAAGAGAGAGCTCTCCTTTTTAAGAGCAAATGTGCACTAGAATTGCCCCATTCTTTATTCTCACAATCACCAAGATACACTGAATATAAGATTTCTCTAGAAATAGAACATATCTATAAAATTAGAAGATCTGGAAGAGAGTAAGGATGTGTTTTACACGGGTAAAGACTTGAGCACAGATACACAAATACATAATCTACAGTGTTTGAAATGGACATAAAGAAGATATCAGCTAGATAAGTCTTAAAATAACTAAGAATTTTCTAAGCAAACTCATAACAGCCCTTGTTCATCAAAACTGAACATGTAGTTTCATATGGACCTATACACACCCACTCCAAATAAGTTTTTATCTTTATTTTAATTGTCTTCAAAATAGAATGTAATGTTACTGCAGTTTCTCACTATAACTTTCCATAGTTCTAAAACAAATAGCCTGGAAACACAAATACTTACCACTGAGCTGTTCCATGAAGCATACATTGCCATTGGTGTTAAAAGCCAAAGTGTCAGGAGTGATGCAGAGTGTCTGGAAGATTGCAGAATGGGCAATGCTCTTCAGAGAATGGCAACACTCCAGGCAAATTGCCCAAATATCTTGCTCAGTAAGAGAGCTATCCCGCAGTGACAAAATATCAGCAAGGGACACATTCTCCTGCCAAGAGAGGAATTAATAAATTACCCTGGATTTCATGACACTACTTTGTATATCATAGATTACATTTGACACAATTGGCTACAAGTAATGTTTCCAGCAAGTTCTCAGACTTTCTAGGACACTGATTAACACCCCAAGAAATACCAAGTGCATCTTTGCTCCTAACACAGAGTGTTTTAAGAAGCACAGTTAAGTTGAACAAAGATATCACAGTATACTAATATGAAGTTATTTAAGTTATTTACTATGGGAGATCTGAAAGTTACATAAACGTTGCATCACAGTTAGTGAAACAGACCACTTGGAGGTAAAACTGGAGAGACTATGTTAAAACATTTTGTTTCATCTATGCCTCTCTCAAGCTCTCCCAGGTGCCTTTACACAAACTACTTAAAACTTCTCTTCACAGCACTTCTCCCTATCACCTGTGATCTGGGAAAAAGTACCCTCTAATTAGTCTGTCTTAAGAATGATGCAGTTATGAAGCTTAGTGGTGTAGACCATTTAATAAACATTCAAAAGCTAAACATGCCATAGGAAAACTGTTCTTATACTTTGACTTAAAATCACTTCAGTTGTCCTAGGCCTCCCCATTACACTCAGAGCTCTTAGTGATCAAAAGAGGTTATGGATTTCATTTCTAAGTTACTGTCCTAAGCTGTAAGTCAACTTGCATTGACCCTGTTATCACAGTAAGGCTATGAAGAGTCCAGTTCCAAAAAAATGTGTCTCTAATGTGGCTTTACTGGTCAAGATGTTCAGAAACAATGCTTGTCTCAAAGCAGCTAGCCTTTCTATGGACATTTTTTAGAATACAAAGCTAATACATCACTCATAGCTCCAGAAGTAAAGTTTTCATGAACTTAAAGGAATGACAAAAAAAAAAAAAAAGACCCAAACGAACAAAACATCAATTCCATCTCTATGGAAAAAATAAGGTAACAAAAATGGAAGGTAATCTACAGAAGTTACTCTGCATCAGAGCTATAACCAGTATTACTTACAAAGTGTTTTCTCATTTATATGTAAGTAATTTAAACTAAAGACTATACTTCTCAATGACATTAAATGTATATTGAATGGAAGATGTAGCTGCACATTACTTAGAAAATAGAAAAAAGAAAGTATGTCATCACCAGCAAAAGAGAATATGAGGTATCTTACAGCTCAGAAAACTGAGCTTTAAACTTAATCCTTTGGAAAATACAGTTATAACTTTCTTTATGTACTTCAGTACTGGAGAACATTAATGATATTTAGATTATTGTATACAGAAAAGTTAACAGTTTTTAACACGTCTTTTAGAGAACTAAGCACTGCTCTCACAATATACTTCAAACAAGGACCAAATCTTAGTTCAAATATGTATTGTGCTTTTTAGTCTAAAGTATAATGCTTAATAAATAAATATGAGGTAGGAAATAAAGCATGCTCACTGTTGTTTGGGAAACTTAACTTCTCTTTTCAATACTCTTATTTTTCATCAGTCAGGAGATGCACTGATTTACTAATGGCAGCATTGCTACAGTGGTTTCTAGCACTAACCATGGATCCTAGTCTCATTAAATTCAGTCCTACAAAATACTGAACAGCAAAAGATCTCAGACACAAGATCTCATCTTCTCTGTGCTGTGAGGGTGAATAAGGAGGTTTTGCACATTCCCATAAGGAACCTCTTCTAGGCATGAGGAGCAGCACAGAGGTTCCTCTATCCGCAAACACAACCATTTGCGAGGAGCTGCACTCCAAACCACTGGGCTTGCAAACTGACCAAGCTGACAGGTAGAGTGAGGAGAGGCTCCAAAAGAAAAGACAAACTGCTTCTTCAATGGCCAACAAAAAAAAAAGTAAAAAAAAAAAAAGTTCATGAAAGCAATGAGCCAGTAACTATTTTTACTTTTCCTAGAATCATCCAGCTAGGCCATATAATGGCATTTGCCACAACAGCAAAATAAAGGGATGTTTCACTAATCAACTAATCACTAATGCCAAACCATGAGAGTTTCATCTGTGCATATGGACCAAAGAGGCTCAATTTACAGTTTGTGTGAAAAAAATAAAAACTGCAATCTTTTAAGACAGACTCAATATCAAATTCCAGTTACAATAAGGACTTAATAGAATTTCTTTTGAGTCAAACTTCAAGGCTGAACTTCAGTGCAGATAATTATCAGCAGTGATACCTACAGTATAAACCTCCAAAAACATATTTGTCTTGTGGTTATTTGGCAAGTAAATCTCATGTCAGAAGAAGCTTATCTTCATTACAAGAGATGAGAAAGTTATGCGGTACAGAAAAAGGAAAAAAAGAAGAAAAAGGAAAAAAGAATAAAAGGCCTATGAAAGTTCAGTGGCTCCCATTAGCAATGGATGGCCGGATGAAGATAAAACAATAAAAAAAGATAAAACAAAAGACTACCATTAGCAAGCCTTTTTATTTTCAATGCTCCAGGACATTAAGTTATTTACTTCACAGAAAGTTTGTATTTCCCAAACGATCACACTGTCTTGACCTTAGTTATTCAAGCTATTGCAGCAAAGTAAGGCCTTTGTAGAGAACAAAGCACTGAAAACATGAGACATGCAGTTTACATCCCCAAAGCAACACAAAACCAAAGTTTTGCTGTGGGACAAAAACATCCTTTTAAGACTGTAACACAGGAGGTTCTGGTAATCTGAATCTTCTGGCAAGCTACTGCTTCAATACTTTGGACCACTGAAAGTTGGTTCACTCGAATGTGGTACATATGAGAGACGCTGATGCCTCTTTTGCCTCTTTCAGCAAAAGACACTATATATAAAGTATATGTATAAAAGTGTTATATACACTTATATACATAGTGTTATACACTTATATACAAGTGTTATATACATATATATATATATAAGTGTCTAGTTTTACTACTGTTTAAAAACTACGAAAAGTGAACAGGTCAGACAAGCTTATTGCTTAATTATTCACTTTAGTTCTCATTTTTCCCTTATAGTTTCTTCACCAAATATAAAACAGTTCAGTAGCATATAACTAAGCAGAGATATTAAGAGAGAGCAGGTAGAGAAAACAAATTAATTGGCCACAGACAACTTCTCAAAAAAATTTAAATTAAATATTAAGGAGTGTGAAACAGAAAAGTTCTAGTAGAGAAAGGAATTTGAAACATTTCTTCATCCTCAGCAACTCCTACTGTTCAACTCAGGCAGATTCTGCTTCACATATTAATAAAAAAACATATGCATCAGACACCAATCTCATTCCTTATAATAGGTACAATGATGAGAAATGCACTAAATGACTAAGCAGCTGGGAGTTCAGTACAACAGCATTGACAGCTTTCTGGCACCTAAGTCTTTTTGCCATGATAATTCACACAAACTTCAAATCCATCTTCCAAAATCACAGAAAATGTGGCAAACACCATCCATTAAATTCATCGCATTTGAAGAAAAACACTGGGTTGCCTCAGTAAGCTCTCTGAGTAGCCTTCAAAGCAGCCCTTTTTTATTAACTTCTGTAATCACCAGGTTGTCATTCTCTCAACAAAAATACTGAAACTATTTATGTTTCCGGAATAACTAAATAGATGGGACTGGTGGAAATCCACAATGAAAGTATATATTGACCAGTTATGGAAAATGGGCCCAGGTCTTTCTCATACATGAGTTGACCCTGAGCTTTCTCTCCCATTCTGAAGAAATACTCTAAATACTTAAGCTAATGTGTAAAAATGAGGCCACTACCACCTTCCTTCTATGTCTTGCATGAGCCAGTCTGAGAGGGCCTACTGCACTGAACACTACAGATGGCAGAAGAGCCAAACTGCTGAGCCATTCGGTGACTTAGGAAAACTGAAAAGGACTTTTCATTTTCAAACTCACTTTTAAATCCTGATTCAGCTTAGATTCTTGACAGAGCAAAAAAGAAAGTTTGCAAGATCTGGTGTGGGAAATGAGCGGCTCACATATGGCTCACCAAACCTTTACTTAAAAAAAAAAGGAAGAAAACTACAAACATTTTGCCCAAATATTCCCAAGGGAGTAAGAAACACACATCATGTGGAAAGATACAAAGATGAGCAAGAGCAATAAAAAGCAAGTGCAAACCCAATAATAAATCCAGACAAACGTGATGACAAGCACTGGGTTTAGCTACAGGTTATTGGGCACAACAACTGAACAAACAGATTTAACAGTTTGGCGGGGTTTGGCTTTTTTTCTTTTATTTCTCAGTGTCAAAGGCCTTTTTGCACAGGGCTGTACAAAACACTGGTTGGCAGCTTCTGGAAACAGCTGAGCCCATGTAAATGTCCCTTCACCAAGTGCGACAAGGACACATACTCGCCAACTGCAGCATTAGCCCACGGCTATGACAGCAGTGACGAGACACCCCGCACTCGAGGACCGTGACTTTGCTGTTGTATGGGGAAGGAGCACGGGGATGGGCCAAGCCCAACTTACTCGCTGGGACCGGCGGGCAGGGGAGGCGAGGAGCCAGCAGGGCGCACACGGGGAGCTCACGGCGCTGCCGCCGCGGCCCGGCCTCTCCCCCGGCCCGGTCCGGCCGCACCTTCAGGCCGCTTCACCACAGGTGAGCGCAAGGGTGGCGGCTCCGTCCCCGCACCTGCCTTACTCACCTCATCCTCCAGCAGCGTCGGCAGAGGCTCGAAATCGTAGCAGTTCACCTCCTCCTCCTCCTCCTCATAAAACACGTCCTCTGCGGCATCAAGAGCCTCCATCCCGCCGGGCGAGGGAGCAGAGGCTTCACCTCCGCAGCCTCCCTATGCACCCGGAGCACGGCCCTCGGCCCCCGCCGCGGCTCATTCCCCTCACCCGCCCGCGGGCTGCCCCCGGCCGCGACCCCCGCGGCGCCGCCCGCCCGCTTTAACCCCTTCCCGGGCCGGGCCCGACCGCGGGGCGCCCCCGCCCCTCCCGCGCCGCCGCTCAAGCCGCGGGCCGGGGCAGCGCTGCCATGGCAACAGCCGCCGCCGCCTCGCCCGCGCGGCCTCACTGCGGCGCCGCCCGCCCTCCTGCGGCGCCGCCCGCCCGCGCCGCGCCCCGGGCGGCTCCGACAGTCACGGGGGGATGGCCGAGGAGCGCGGCGTGTCCCCCAGCCTGGGCGACTCCGCTGGCGGGGAGCCGCTGATGGTGGGAAGGGGGCGGCGTGGCGGTGCGCCCTGAGGAGCGTGACCGCCGCAGTGCCGGCTGCGGCCGCCGGGGCCGGTGCCTGGTTCGGCCGCGCTCTGCGGGCGAACGGCGGCGGCGGGAGGGAGGGTTGGTGTCGGGGAGAGGCCGAGGCGGCAGCGGTGCCTGGCCCCGAGGCGCTGCCCGGCGCTGAGCGATCCCCGCCCCGCCTGCCCGAGCCCCCCGGGCCCGCGTTACCGCCGCCGGCTCTGCAAACCGCTGGGTTTACTGGATAAACTGGTGGTTAGAATTAGGTGAACAAGTATTTGCATGATCATGGCATAACTCCTGACGCAGTTCGAACCATAACAACCGCAAACAAAACCAAGCCGGTATCACCAGCTTTCTGTTCATCAGTCGTGGCCCATTTTTGCACTCAACAGGGCTTAGGGTGCCTCAAGTAACTTCGTTAAGACTCCCCTTGAAATCAAAGGTTCAAGATCAAGGATTCCTTCAAAACCACCACCTGCATAAGCTAGTTTTTATTTCAAGTAAACCTCATTGGAGAGTTCAGGTGGTTTTGAGTAAACAGGCCTGGGAACAGGAATTGGCATTCGGTAATGGACAGATAACCCCTAAGCAGGTGTCTCCTGATTTAGCTTTAAGCCACATCAGAAACTTACATCTCCATTGTAAACAATGGTGGATGGTGAGAATATACTCTTTTGTCCTGTAATTAAATTTTAGAACTACAGATACTTGGAAAATAATGGTGCCAATTTCATTATTCTGCTTTCCTGTATTCCTATACTTCTTTGTCAAAATGAAGTATGCTAATTAATTAATTTCTGCACAGTACATCAAGCAAAGCAAGAGCTTTATATTTTCTTCTTGTATGTAGTACTCTGTGGAAAAGATTAATACTCTATTAAAATATATATTAACAAACACTGTGAAGCAAACAAAGATACTTTGATTAACTGCCCCATAAAAGTCATCCTGCAGTTGTAAGATTTCTCCCAATTAAACATTATTTGGATACATTCCACAGTTATGGCATGCTACTGAATAAAAAACCAAACCTGGGCAGACTGGAGTCTTTCATATATATGCTGTCTTATTACTAACATTTTTTAATGGATATGAACTATATTTATATATATATACACACTTATAATGTGGTAACTAGAGCTTTTAGTTGTGACCAAATACTAAAGCATGGGAAACAGTGAGTGCCTGGTGCTTCTGGAAAAAAAAAAAAGCCCAATGTGACTCCAATAACAGTATTATTATAAAATGTTTCTTAAACTGTATTTCACCAGCGTATTTGGCAAAATGTTTTCTTCAGGCAGCACAATCTACCCAAGAAGAATCCTGAATTCTGAACTCTTGTGTATTGACCCATAATTACATTGTAAAGAAGAAGAAAAGAGAAAAATTTTTCTGGTGTCTTAATCAGGCCTAATATCTACACTCATCCTTACATACATCTTAGACAGCTCTCCATTGCAATCACCACTTGAGCATTCACAAATATTTCTGAAAAAAAGTTTAAGTTAAACCTATGGAAGCTGCACAGAAATCCACATACTAGTTTTGAAAGGATCAATATTTTTTGTTGACTAAGAGAAATTCCCTTGCCAGTAAATGAGTGATAGGGCATTTCCCTGTGAGGTTAGCAGGCTCAGGTTCATACACATACCCTGTATTATTTGGGCGTTGAATCTAGGCTTGGGTAGATTTTGTCAGAGTAAGAGACTAACTGACAAGTGATTTGAGATCTATCTCTCTGTAGCTGTGGTTAACTTACTTGTTCTACTGAAGAACTATTTAGACGAAGTGGAAATTGTACAAAATGGAAAACAAATGAAACACAGCATTGCTCTGTAAACAAAAACTTGTAGTAGACAGCCTTATCACAAATGCCTTGATGGACAGGAAAAAACAGTCAATGGAACTGATATGGTTTAGGAAGATTTTTTCCAGAAAAATTGCTATTCTAAGCCTATGGTCACATCAATAATTGTGTTGTTTCCATTTCCTCATTGGTCTCACAGCTGAGGCAACTGTCAGAAAAGGCATTGCAACTTGTTTGATACATTCATGTAGCAATTCTTACGCTAGAATATTCATTCTTATTAACATCTGCAATTAGTCGTGGCCCACGGGAACTGTTGGAGGACATGCAACACTGCACAGTTCAGCATTAGAAAAAACACCACATGTAGATGAAGCTGTCAGTTTTTCTGCAGTCATATTTTCCATTCTTTCCGCAATGTTGCTTAAGGAAGTGTAAGTTCTTAGGAGGTCTTTACAGAGTATTGGTAGGCATTTTTTGAAATGTGTTTTGATGGATATGCGAGTGTCTGTGGAGATTAACTTCTGAGTCTGAGGCTGGTGAATTTGCAGGTGAATATCATATTAAACACAGAAATATATAGAAGAGAAATCAGGTTCTCAAAGATGGGGGTTGTCAAAAGGCAGAAATAAAAATGTCATTTTGCATTAAATGTATTCTATAGCCTGAAAAGAAATAAGAAATGTTAGCATAGATTAAAGGAATATTATTTTAGTAAAGGATATTTGAAATAGGTTAGAAATACAACTCTGAAACTGTGGAAGTACCAGAGAGAGGTTTCCTTTAACAGTGATCAGGTTTTGAATATGAACTGAGATCTCTTTAGCAACAGTTACACCAGGAGTCACAATTATTAGATTTTGACTTCTTAATTGTAGATTAGAGAAGAAAAGCTACGAGGCAAAGGTAAACTCCAGATATAGTGTAGATATTATATGTGAGAAAACTCTTGACCAAAATGTCATTAAATCAATGTGGAGTTTTGTGTTTTAGACTGTATGATCACAGATAATGGAGAGAAATGGATCAAATACATTTGATTTCACTCCTCTTACAGTTTGAGCATGCTCCCCTTAAGCTGGATCTAATTCATAGGAAATGCGTTAGAGTTAGGGCAGTTTGTAATTTTCATATGAGGTATGTTTGCGGCAAAATAGCTGACTTGATTTCTGTCTCTGACAGCAGCTGATAGCAGATGTCTAGAGAAGAGTGTAGGAACAAGGTAGTAACATGCTATGTTCTCACAGCCTCTGAACAGTCAGTTCAGATTTTCCCTAAGGCAGTGGTGATGTCTACTGGTTCAAGAGACACTGAAGTATTTTTCTTTAATGAATTTGCTCATTCACTTTTTGTGAGTCTGAATGAGTTTACTGTCCACCATATCCTATTACAAAATTCCTCGGCTGACCCGCACATTGCATAAAGTAAATTCTTTGTTTCATTTGAGGCCCCAACTACTTGTATTTGCAAAGGTGGTGGACAGATTCCTTATTTGTCATCTTTCCATCATTTATGATACTATAGAGTTCTCATATCTCCCCTAGTTTCGTCCTTTTAGGTTGAAAGGCCCTGTTCTAGTTGTTCATTCACAGAATAGAAACTATTCCACAAGTTCGATCATGCTTTAGCATTTCTCAGCATATTTTCTAATTGTGTCATTATGTAAGTAAAAATTGTTAAAAAAGAGGAAGGAAGGAAGGAAGGAAGAAGAGGAGGGAGGGAGGGAAGAAGGAAGGAAGGGAGGGAGGAAGGAAGGAAGGAAGGAAGAAAGAAGGAAGGGAGGAAGGAAGGAAGGAAGGAATTTTTGAAAATAATACATTAATGACCTGCAAAATTAAAGGAAGTACTTCTCTTAACCATGGTTTACTACTTTATTTATGAGCCTCATGCCTTTTATTTCCAGATAGGTGTATTCATGGGATATTGTAAATAATAATTCAGTGAGCATTTGCCACAGAGAATACATTAATGAGAATTCAGGAAGTGACTGCCAAGCACCCTCTCTCTGCAACATAATCTAAATACAACCTACAGGAGAAAGGAAATTGTATATGGTACTACAGTTACGCCACTTTGTGCCACTAGAGATGTCTTTCATGTTCTTTTGTAGGTTTATCCTTTTCATTATAGCACTTTGCTTATTCTTTTTAATAGATTATATAATCATAATTGACTGTTATAATTTGGAGTACCAGCCTTGTAGATGAAAGGTACACATTTGTAACAGTATAATTAGATTGTACATTCTTCTTTTAAGAGTTTTCATTTAATGGCAATTTGCCTGAAGGTTCTCATTTTAATTTAGTTTGGGTGAAACTGAGGGAACTGAAAGATTGCTGTATAAAGAATTGGATTTTGTGTGTGTATGACTTATATATTTTTCAGTTGTTTGGGTTCTGTTAATCAGAGATCTCTTTAATGCCGTGGGCTTTAATACTTTTACGGTCTGTGAAACTACTGTTCTTCCTTTAGCAGTTATATGTATTTAAAGACAGAGACAAGCTTTCTGCTAGTTGCCAACTGCTGCTGCCTTTGTGGCAGCGGTGAGAAACCATTGTAATAAAAAGCTGATTGTGTTGCTGCTACTGAAAAACCTGAAAGAATTAAAATACTGCAATTTTTAAACCAGCCCCATTTCTGCTACCACTCATATAGAAGCATAAATCTGCTTGACTGAAAGTGGTAGATTACTTTGTACTGCAGGTACTTAAGAATCTTACAAAGGCAATAGGGATGCATCATCAGAAAACTATATGCATTTACTGCTTACAGTATGGGGAACCCCATATAGAGGCATTACCTTTTCGTGGGGTTGAATGGTAGAAGTGTAAACTTCAGAATCATC